TAAGTGACAAGTAACATTCATGCCGTACAAGTGCCAAGCAACCATCTCCAACAAGGCAACATCTAACAATCTTGCCCCTCGACATTGTTTGACATTAGCATCATTGAATCTCCAACTCTCAATATCCTGGGCATTACCATTGACCAGAAATTCAACTTGACAAGCCACACAAATACTGTGGTGACAGGAGTATATCAGGGCCAGGAATTGTGCAGGGAAAAACTCACCTCCTGTCTCCCCATTGCCTTTCCACCAACTACAAGGCCCAAGTCAAGACTATGATCAATCCACTTGGCTGGATGGTCATAGCTCCAACACCACTTAAGAAGCTCGACACCAACCAGGACAAAGCACCTGCTTGAATGACATCACTTCCACATTCACTTCCTTCACCACTGATGCACAATGGCAGCAGTGTGTACAATCCACAAGGTGCATTGCAATAACTCATTATGTCTCCCGTGACAGTATGTTTTGGACCGGTGAAGTTGGCCACCCAAAAGGACGGGGGCAACAGGTGCATCGGAACTTCACCATCTGCAAGTCCCCACCCCAAGCCACACTCCAGACTGATCTGAATCCAAATTTTAACTTTAGTCGTCTTTTACTGTTTAAATATTTGCATAAACACTTTGCTATTTGTTTTTATTTCCAGGTAATTTTCTTTCATATTCTACATTCTCTCTTTAGTTTTCTTAAGTCACTTTTTGCTGGTTTTTACATTCAGCCCAATTTTCTGATCTGTCAATCTTAATGGAATTATATGCCTCTCCTTTCAACTTGATAATGTTTTTATGTGAGTACGATATTTAAATGGTTGCCACCTGATTCAAAGTTATATTAATACCTTTAGTTCCATGTTGCTTCTTCTGGATAACTCCCAAGATAAAGAACAGAGCTAGTACATTTACAGTCCGGTCACAGGACTGAGCACAGATTAATCTCATTTACAGACCACTTTGACAACAAATGTTTTTTACTGTCCATAACAGCAAGGGCAAATATAACATCGATATCACAAAGAGAACCATCACATTCAAAGCAGCAAGCCAACTAAGCAAGAATAGGTAAATGCTTCATACATTTATGAACATATGAAGTAACAGCAGCAGGAGGGGACCATTTGGTCCCTTGAATCTGCTCTATCATTCGATCATGGCTTATCTGATCCTGGCCTCAAATTCACTTTCTTGCCTGTTTCCCATAATCTTTTGTGTAAATTGAAGACATGTAGAATACAGTTCATTTCTATCAAAAAACCCAACCACTTATTTCAGCTAGGGCAGCTGAGTGAGTATCAGCTGATAGCAGAATTCGGCTAACAGCCACAAAACTATTTTTAAAAGAATTATGACTATAAACTACTGGATTTCACCCATGTTCTGGCCAATACCTATCTCTCAACCAACATCTGTTCATCATTTCATTTCCGCTTCTGATCTCTCTCTCTCCATGCAACTTTCTCATTGCTAGAGAGTTGCAAGTATAATTTATATCTTGATATCATTATGCACAGGCCCCAAGAATAACCTCAAATGGTAAGATAACGCTGGTGTGCCTCTGCACCATTCTCAAGCCATCGAAGCTAACTAGCCCATCTTATGGGTATTTACATTCACAAACTGGCTGCCGCAGTTCCTAACAATATCAGAGATAGCATTTCGACAGCAGAGTGGTGTAGTAGGAACGTGCTGAGCTCATAGCCCATCAAAATCATGCTCTGCTAAGTGTTCCTGGGTTGTGATGGTAGTGTCCCTACCTCTGGACCAGAAGGTCCAGGTTCAAATTCCACCTACTCAGGACATGTGTTCTAACATGCCCGAACAGTTGAACAGAAATATTTATCAGTACAGCACTTCTGAGATACTGGATTGATTATGAGATTCTCAGAGCTATTTAAATGCGCTAAAGGAACACAAATTCTTCTTTCTGTTCTACTAACTTCACCAATATTCTGTTTCACCCAGCTCAAAGTTGAGTAAATTTCAAAGTTTCTTTTCAGATCCTGTTGTATTGCTGCTACTTAAATCCCGTAACTACCAAAACTTCCCCGAATCTAAATTCTCTTTAATGGTGAAGGCCTTGAACACCAATGTCAAAGTCCACTCTCATTCTGACGAGTTTTATCATACTCCAAACATGAACTGTTTCTGCTTCCTCATACAGAGTCATAGAATCTTTCCAGTGTGGAAACAGACAAATCGGCCCAACAAGTCCGCACCGATCCTCTGAACAGCATCCCACCCAGACCCAGACCCATCCCTCCTACCCTGTAACCCTACATTTCCTATGGTTAATGCACCTAACCTACATGTCCGTGAACACTATGGGTAATTCAGCACGGCCAATCCACTTAACTTGCACAGAGTAATACAGCATGGAAACAGGCCCTTTGTTTTAATTTGTCTGTGCGACCAAGTTTCCAAATCTAAACTAGTCCCACTTGCCTGCATTTGGCCCATATCTCTCTAAACTTTTCTTATTCACGTAAGTGTCCAAAATGTCTTTTCAACATTGTAACTCTACCTGCATCTACCACTTCCTCTGGCGGTTTATTCAACATACAAACCACCAGCTGTGCGAAAAAGTTGTCCGTCAGGTCGCTTTTAAATCTTTCTCCTCTCACCTTAAAAATATGCCCCCTAGTTTTGAACTCCCCCACCCTAGGGAAAAGATCGTTGCTATTCACCTTATCTATGCCCCTCATGATTTTATAAACCTCTATTAGGTCACCCCTCAACCTCCTAAGCTTCAGGGAAAAAGTTCCCAGCTTATCCAGCCTTCCCTGTAACTCAAAGCCTCCAGTCCCAACAACATCCTGGTAAATCTTTTCTGAGCCCTCTCCAGTTTAATAATATCCATCCTATTGCATGTCAACCACAACTGTACACAGTACTCCAAAAGTGGCCTCACCAACATCCTGTACAACCTCAACATGATGTCCCAACTCCTATATTCAATGGTCTGAGCAATGAAGGCAAGCTTGCTAAACGCCTTAACTATCCTGTCTGCCTATGATACAAATTTCAAAGAATTATGTACCTGAACCCCTAGGTCACTCTGTTCTACAACAGAACCCAGGGCCCTTGTTCATCTTACCAAAATCTTACCTTGCATTTATCCAAATTAAACTCCATTTATCATTCCTCAGCCCATTGGCCCAATTGATTGAGATGCCTTTGTAATTTCAGATAACCTTCTTCACAGTCCACTATACCACCAACTTTGGTGTCAACTCAAAATCACTAACCATGCCTCCTAAATACTCATCCAAATTATTTGTATAAATGACAAACAAAAGTGAACCCAGCACTGATCCCTGAGGAACACTGCTGGTCATAGGCCTCTAGTCCAAAAGTCAACCCTCCACCACCATTCTTGGTGTCCTACCATCAAGTCAACAGACCTGATATATTTCTCCAGGACTTTATTATTCCACTCTCATTCTGTTTCTCAGAAAGGTACAAGGTAAACAATCTTTCCTTATAACAGAGACATCTAAGCTCACAAATAAACCTCACTGTCCTCTGCTACACATCCTCTGATAACATATGCAATGTTTCTATGTAATTATGAAAAGTGAACAAATTACTCCAAAGACAGTCTCATCTGGACAAAATAAAACAACGTGACACCCTTATAAATCACATCATTTGGGGAAAACATGGGGATTTGCCTTCATCACTATCTGTAGAAAGTAAACAATTAATACAAGCAGTTTGAAAGATAAAAATATTTGCCTTTTTGAGGTTTATTAGTTTAGTCATGCAGAACCTACGGATTAGATTGTCAGGCTGAGTAACGAATCTTATATGATGGTGTAGTGCTACAACATTTATCTTGAAACTAAAGGCCAGGTACAAAAAAAAGGAAATGTCTGAAGAAACGTTGAGAATACCAATTATTGCTTCATGGGCAATTGTATACAACAAAAATGCTCTTGGAATACAATACTTTGCACTGATAATTTGAAACAAACGACATGGCGGCAGGTAGCTCAGTGATTAATATTGCTACTTCACAGCTCCAGGTCGAGGGTTCGATTCGACCCTCGCGCGACTGTGTTCAGTTCTCCCCCTGTCAGCGTGGGTTTCCTTCCACAGATGTGCAAGTTAGGTGGATTAGCTATGCTAAATTGACCATAGTGTTCAGAGATATGTAAGTTAAGTAGGCGGATTAGCCATGGGAAAGGCAGGGTTACCGGGATGGGGTGGATGCTCTTTGGAAAATCGGTGTGGACTTGTTGGGCCGAATGGCCTATCTCCACACTGCGGATATTCTATAACCAAGACAACAGTGTGGAGCTGGAAGGACACAGCAGGTCAGGCAGCATCTGAGAAGAAGGAAAGTTGAAGTTTCGGGTCGGGACCCTTCTTCAGAAATGACCTAAATACTTTGTGTACAAAAAGAAACAGGATAGGGAAATAACATACTTACTACAGTGGGCCTTGCTCCATCCACTCTATTTAATCTTTTAAAACATATGCTTTAAATAATAGCACTATTAATTGTTTCAATACGGCTGGAGTGGTAAGTTTTTGTAAAGCCAAGAAAGGAGCGGCGGTACGAGGTGAAGTTAAATGTCTCCCTTCAATTATAACTTAAGCACCCATCACAGCCAAAGCGTCGTCACGGGCGCTCAGTCAACCTAACCTGATGACCCATCAAACGCAAGCACCGCCCACCTACTCACACCCGGTTCGTTGATTCCTGCAGGGCGACGTGAGCATGCGCACTCTCTATGGTCATAACCGCTGTCAGTCAAATGGGCCTCCACTCTGCGGAAAGCAATGAGTTCGGTCGAGGGGAAGGCAAAGCGGATTTTCCAGGGGGAGGAGCATCTTAACCGGACGCTTGCTGATTGGATCACGCAGAGATGGGCGGCGACGCGTCTTTCGATAGGGCGCTACTCCTGTCAGTCAGCAAGTTTGCCGTGCGTCGTTTCCGTTTGGTTGTGCGGGCGCGTTGGGTAACGTACGGGGGGGGCGGGGAGAGCGAGAAACGAGAAAGAGTGAGTGCGTTAGGTTTAGACACTAGGCAACGGGCGGAGAGACAGACGTAGACACAGGAGAGAGAGAGAGAGAGAGAGGCGGCTCCTTGTCTCACCCACACCCAGTAGCCGGCAGATCGAAAGGATATCTCTACGCCGGCGGGGGGGGTGAGGGGTGAAGGCCGTGGAGCCGCCGCTGGGGAGCGACCCTCCGCCGGCGCTTTCCGAGATGAGGTAAGCTGCTCGGTTCCCAGCTCCTGCAATGGCTCTCCCTGCAGCCAAAGGATTACTGCCTCCTGTTATTTCAAACACTGCTTGCTGCAGGCATGTCTCCCTTTAATACATACTGTGGTAACTCACCGCCGCTCAGCCTTGAGCAATCTGCCTTTTGAAACAGAGGCTTTGCTGGCAGACCTTAAAAGTAAGAGGAAAGTCAGTTACTGTGGAGAGAGGTGAGGAGACTTTCATGAGCTTATTTGCTGCATGTTGTTGACGAGGTGAATTTTTTTGTCCCTAATTGCCTGGCTTTTTTTTTTGGACCATGCAGTGATTAAAAGTAATGGGGGTGAAGATTATTTTATACCCTTTGCCTCCCTTTCCCCTTTCTAGCTCCTCTGTTGCAGGGCGGATTGGTCACAGGGAGATGGGAATAATAAGTGTAATCTGATACAAGTGTTTTTGGATCATTACAAGAAAGGAGGGTCGTATTCGGTTTTTTTTAACCACATTGCCGATCCTTGTTATCGAGTGTATTATTTGCTAGAGGACGTTTATTTTGTGAAATTGTGAAGAGTAGCGCATGAAACCCCGAAGTGTAGTAGATATTTCTGTCGTTTTAATTAAACATATGGAGCAACATTTAAATCAGAACTATGAAAAATCCAAGCCTGCTGTTTGATTTATGCTGTTTGAAGATGAGGGAATAAACGAATGAAACAGGAGCATTAAAGGATTGGATGGTTTCTAAAGTCGCGGTCGGTTCACGGCCATTCTAATACTTAAAAAAAATCTTTCATATAGTCTTAAACAGCCTGATCCTCTCTGTTAATTAAATACAATCTAAATGTTAGCAAAGCCTGCTGTTTTCGTTGCTGAAATTTGGTAGTGATTGTCATTTTGAAAATGTTGTTTGTATTCAGTGGAATCTGAAATTTAACGTTGTATTGAATAAATTATAAATTATGAATTTTCAGCAAAATAACCAACCACCTTGAGATTTGGGTAGAATGTAGAACTGTGGTCATTAATCATGATGATGCAACTGACAGTGTAACCTGGCAAGTCTTGCCAAATAATCAACTGTATAGTATGATTTATTCTATCGTAATATATTGGTTGAGTGGTAATGAAACTGGAAGATTTTGATTGAGGCAAGGATTTAGGATAGATCTGTGATCAGGTTATTTCACATGCGATAACATTGTGTGCATGCTTATTTACATGTAGTTATATTCACTAAATTGCAAAAGAAAAGCTTTATCATGTTGGGGGAAAAAGGGTTACGAAATCTAAACTTTGACATATAGTGTTCTGATTGAGTTTTAACATGAAGCCACATACTTGTTTCTAACAGTTCAAATAAAATTTATGTAGAGTGCACAAAACATTATTTTACAATTATGTTTTAAGTGAGATTGTAAAATGTTGTGTGAACCACGTAAAGTTTCCCTAGGAATCTTGTGATTTTTTTTTTTTGAAGTATTAATACTGAAAAATTCCTTCAGACCATAAGGAGAGCAACAGAATTAGGCCATATGGCCCATTGAATCTGTTCCACCATTTGATCATGGCTGATATGTTTCTCGCCCCCATTCTCCTGCTTTCTCCCCATACTCTTGATCCCCTTTCTAATCAAGAACCTATCTATCTCTGTCTTAAATAGACTTAAAATGACTTGGCCACCACAGCCTTCTGCAGCAATGTATTCCGCAGATTCACCAGTCTCTGTTTGAAGAATTTCCTCCTCATCACAGTTCTAAAGGATCGTCCCCTAAATCTGAGGCTGTGCCCTTCAGCTCCAGTGTCTCCTAATGGAAACATCATCTCTATGTCCACTCTATTCAGGTGTCTCAATAGGCTGTAAGTTTCAATGAGATCCCACCTCATCTTTATAAACTCCACGGTCCTCAAGAGCTCTTCATATTGACAAGTTCTTTATCCCTGCGATCGTTTTGTAAACCATCTCTGGATCTCCTCCAAGGCCAGCGTATCCAACCTTACAAACAGGGCCCAAAGCTGTTCACTATTCCAAAAGTGGTCTGACCAGAGTTATCTGTAACCTCAGCAATACATCTCTGCTCTTGTTTTCTAGCCCTCTTCAAATTGATACTAACTCTGTGTTTGTCTTCCTAACTGCCAAGTGAACCTGCATGTTAATCTTTAGAGAATCCTGAACTAGAACTCGCATCCCTTTGTGCTTCAAATTTCTGAAGCCTTTCCCCACTTACAAATCAGTCTACGCCTCTATTCTTACTACAAAAGTGTGTGAGCTTGCACTTTCCCGCATTGTCTTCCATCTCTTGGCACTTTCTCGCATTGATTTTGTAAACATCAGGAAGACAATCAAATCAGTTTGGGGCTGCACGGTAGCTCAGGTTAACACCGCTGCCTCTAAGATCCAGGGACCTGGGTTCAAGTACTGTCTCAGGCAACTGTCTGTGTGGAGTTTGCACATTCTCCCTATGTCTGCATGGGTTTCCTTCCACAGAGCAAAGATACGCAGGTTAGGTGATTGGCCATGCTGAATTGCCTGTAGTGTGCGGGGATGTGCAGGTTAGGTGGATTAGCCATGGGAAATAGATTATAGGGTTAGGGTAAAGGTGGGTCTGTGTGAATGGCCTGCTTCCACACTGTAGGGATTCTATGATTCAATCCAAATCTTTGCGAATGAACTAAGTGCAGTTTTAAATTGCAAGTCCTAAAGCCAACTGAAAACATTTCAGTTAAATGCTAAGTTTCATCCTACTTTTTGGAATGCTTAAGCACCACAATGATTTTACTAACCTTGCTTCACGCATCATTTTGTAGCCTTCGTTGACACAACTGGAAGCAGAATAATAATAAACTGCAGAATGCTAAAACTTTACTCTTAATTATTTATTGATCTTTCCTCTTGTAATCTAATTATGCCAAAGAAGGGTTTATTGGAGATTGCTATACAATTCTTTTAGCGTAAAGGTAAATCATAAGGCTTGAGAAAATGCCAGATCTTGTATCTTTTCCAGACTTTGGAGTGCCTGGATTGAACTAAAATTGTGTAACCAAGCAGGAGTATATATTTTTAAAAACTCATTCTTTGAGAATGCGTTTACAATTTTACAGAGCTCAATAGTTTTGCAAATTGCCAAAAGTTTGCTCTTAACTCCTTGGTAGTTGATGCTGACTATTTTTGCAATACTGACAAGTGAGGTTATAGTGAGAAGTAAAAGCCAGTTTAAAATTTTGGACAGAAGTACTGGGTGAAGAGACCAAACTTCACAACTCTTGAAAAGAGAGACTTCAGTATTCCTTATAAAGAAATAAATAATGTGTGGCAAGAAAGGAACCATTTAATTGTGATTACTGGAAATCAAACAAAAATAGAAATTACCAGAAAGATTCAGCAAGTTTGGCATCATCTGTGGAGGGAGAGAGCAGCATTAACATTTCGGGCGCAGTGACCCTCCTTCAGAATGTTCTGCAGAAGGGTCATTGGACCCAAAACGTTAATGCTGTTTCCTCTGCATAGCTGCTGCCAAACCTGCTGAGCTTTTGAGATTTTTCTGAAGAGGGGTCCTCACCCGAAACATCAGTTTTCCTGCTCCTCTGATGCTGCTTGGCCTGCTGTGTTCCTCCAGCTCCGCGCTGTTATCTCTGACTCCAGCATTGGCAGTTCTTACTATCTCTGAGCTTTTTTGAGCAATTTCTGTTTTTGTAGTTTGTTAATCATGGTTGTTGCTGTGCGCAGAAATCATGTTAGAAGTTGAATGCATTTGCAATTAGAAGTGGTTCACAAATGCATGAAGTGCAATGTATAGTATCCGTGAACCCCATATGAATGTTATTAGGATATGGAGGCACCGGAAAAGGTGCAGAAAGGATTTACAAGGATGATATCAGAAATATGTGGGAGTAACTAACAGAAAAGGATCGACAGACTGTGTCTCTTTGAATGCTGACAAAAGAAGGCTGGGGAGTGACCAAATAGAGATCTTTAACACAAGTTTTGACACCAGGGATGCCAAGAGTATACTTCCCCTTGTGAAGAAGAGCATAATGAAGCCATTCACATGAGCTCTCACAGCGAGTGGTTGAAGCAAATTGTATAGATTGATTGAAGAGGAAACTAGCCAAGTGTTTGTGGTATTGCTGGGTCATAAACCTGAAACGCCTCCCGAAGAGCCCCGTGCGCCAAACAGACTGCAGTTCAAGAAGGCAGCTCACCGTGACCTAGGGCAACTTTAGATGGGCAATAAATGCTGACCCAGTTAGTGAAGTTCACATTGCATGAATTAATTAAACAATGGTTACAATAGTAGATTTAGGTGAGGAATAGTGGGAAGAGGCTTGAGTGGCGCATGAGCTTTTGGGCCAAATGGACTGTTTTTGTGTTGCATATCCCCTGCAAATATCCTGCATATTCTAAGAAATGAAACAAAGAGCTGTAGATGCTGGAGTTCTGAAACGAAACAGAAACGTAAGCGTTCAGGATTTGACATTGACTTCAAAAAGTTCAGAGCATGAGTACTTTCTTCCTGCTCATTACCAACCCCCACAACTCCAGGTCCTGTCGTGGAATGAGACAAAAGAACTGCGGATGCTGCCTGGCCTACTGTGTCGTACCTGTCATGGAATGGTTTGCTTTCAGCCCAGCCAACTTATTTTCAACTACTCAGCCAACATTATCACCCATCCAACTTCTCTCCTTCCCTTTTTTTTAGTCTCTCTTCACTGAGATGCATCCCCATCTTTCTGCTCTCTCTTTCCCCCTCTCTTGTCATCCACATTAATACTACCTTTTCCTTCTAGTTCCGAGGAAGGGTCAACGGAACTGAAATGTTAAATCTGTTTGTCTGCAGATGCTGCCGGACTTGCTGAGTTTCTCCAGCAATTTCTCTTTGTTTGTTTTATTCTAATAAATGTGTTATCATTTTGTGCAAATACCTCTGGTCCAATAGGATTTATATGCAACATTAAAATAATGTCTATTGAGTGAGTTTAGCTGCTTAATTTCTAATATTATGGTTGACACATTA